TAAGGTAGTTCCATTTTCAGATTTTTGAGGTGCCTCCATACTGATTTCCATAATGGCTGCACCAGCCTGCAGTCCCACCAGCAGTGCACCAAGGTTCCCTTTTCCCCACAGCCTCGCCAGCATTTGTTGTTTGTTGATTTATTGATGATTCAGAGCTCACACTCTTGAGTGAGCCCTTAACCAAGTGAGCCACTCGGCTGGCCTAAATTTTTAAAATATGATGTTGAATGAAATGGCAAGTTCCTAAGTGTATGCATTGTATGATCCTGGTGGTGGAGAGTACAAAGGTAAAATAATACAAAATAAAAAGGCCCATAAAACAATATATATTTTTATGCTAGTCTATGTTGTTTATGAATTGAAAGGCTTAATGCAAATAATACAAAACAAAAAGAAGATATATCAGGATGGTTAGCACATGAGCACCTTTCATATAATTTTTGTACTTATTTAGATTTAGGTATATTTAATTTACAGTTAATACATTTTAAATAAATGTTTATCATCATTATATTTTGTTTCGATCTCTTTTTTTAAAGAGCAAAAATATCTGCCTTAAAATCAATTCTCAACGATATTTACTTTGGGTTAGATTTATAGTCATATATACATATTGCACATACATAGTCTCCCTACATTGTAGAACTTTTCACTTTGCAAATGAAAAAAGAAAAACAAGCCAAAATAAATCTTTCTTGGGCAGTGGGGGTTTTGGGAACCCTCCGTTTGAACTGGCCCTTCGGGAAGATAGTGTAGCACAGTTGAAAATGCATGGAGTTTGGCAGTCAAGCCACCCTCACTCAAACCATAGTTTTCACACCTGTTATCTCGGGTGACCTAAGATGAATGTTTTAATCCTTGTGAGCCTCAGTTTACGCATTTGCTAAGCAATGGTGAGATGTAAAAGTTGTTGAAAGAATGAAAGTTTATTTAACTATGGTACAAAGTAGGAGGTATTCTATTAATAAATACCAGCTATTACTGACATTATTACATTACATATTATTATATATTTATATATAATTGCACTATTCCATAACTGCAATACCTATTTGTATCAGAGGCAGCGTCTGAAGGAAATAAAAGGATGTTCTTTATTGTAAATTATTTACTCTTTTAAAAAGGTGATTTAAAACAACCATTTTTATTCCGCTCACATATTCTGAGTCAGGGACTCAGGCAGAGCCCAGTGAGGATGGCTTGTCTCTATTCCACAATGTCTGGAGTTCAGCTGGGAAGACTCAGAGGCCAGCGGTGAATGATTGAATGCTACTTTGTTTGTTTTCCAAGTGATTTGGCAGATAACATTTTTTAAAGAGAGTCAGCTGCTCCAGTGTATTTTAAGAGCTAAGGTAGTATAAATGACCAGGAAAACCGATATCTACCAATGGAAGATCAATACAAAAAACGAAGAGAAATCCCTGAAAAGATAATACAACCCAAATGAAAAAAATAAGAGCTGATTTTAATACAGAGTCATAAGAACTTGGCCATTATGCAAACTAGTACATTTATTTGTGAATCTTGGGAAGAATATTTACCATCTTAGAAATAATCACTTCACATGTCATGATGTTTACATGAATATGCTCTATATAGAAAAACGAGGGTATAGGCAACTAGACTTAGATCATACTCTTCCTTTCTGAAATAGCTTGTATATAAGAACAACTAACACATTCATCCGGTTTCTCTAGGCTTAATTTCTATTTCTGGGGCTAATTAAAACTCTAATTTTCAAATAAATCTGCCCACAGCTAGGTGACCACTTTTTTTTTAGCCATCAATGGGTGGCTGACAGATCCTCGTTCACAAGCCTCAATTCTGTAGAAAATAGAAACGGAGAAACACTCTGAATTGTAAACAATCAAAACGCCATCAGAAACTAACAACATGGTTTAATTAAAAGGGAAAATCCATAGTAATTCACTTTTTTCCTTTCCACTCTTCACACAACAAAATAAGAGGTGGTACAGAAAAGCAATTAAAATGAAGTCACCCTGTGCCCTCAGAGTGTCCGAGTACAACCTTTATCAATGAAATAATTCGCTGCAGATTTCTCATTTTCCTCCCCTTTGTCATACGGAAATTGCTTCCTGCTTTCCTTTAGAAACAATGCATCTTCTCGCCTTTTCAGTGACCCCTAGGCTTCTCAGAATTTCAGTAATCTTGCTATTCCGTAAAAACAATAAGACAGTGTGGTTACAAGGCCAGTGTCCCTATTCGATGAGGGCCTGGGATGGGACTAGAACCCAGCCTGATGTCATGGGTTGCAATGACCTTGCATAACCTCTGAGATGGGGTGGTGGGCTTGATGCCACAAGGTGGGTGTGACTGAGGGTGGCTGTGACCACAGCCTGCACCTGTGGTCTCTACAGGATCAGACAGGAGTAACAGGACGGAGGGGACGCAGGGCACAAATGTGTCAACACTGTTGCAAACTCCTGACAGTCACCCTACCTCTGACCATAATTCGGGCTCAGGAGAAAACACACTTACTATTCTGATCTATGAACAAAGGCTGCATTGTTTACGCAGAGACTGAATCCGCTTTAACCAACAAAACCACCTGGCAGCATAACCCAGAGCACACGTCCACAGGCTCAGGACTGGACGCAACGAAACAGCTCTATCGGCACGTGGAGATGGTCACACAAACGAAAACCATGTCACCTCCACACTGCTCATGATCACTCTCATGCATGTCTTCACGACGCGGCCAACACAGGGACATCTGGTCACCATGGGATTCCAGTAAAGCAAACACTGGGGAGGTAGAAAGTAGTTCTAGAGCTCCGTGAAAGGTCTCGGTGTAGGTCCGGAGCAAGAGACATGAAAAGCGAAGCTCCACCAGGGGTTCAGGCGGCTAACAGTGAGCAAAGTGAGTAAAATGTCACACCAGGGGGTGACACAATCACGAGACAGCGTGAACATCACCGAAAAGAGACTCCTTCCCACTGGTGAGGGCCCCACGCACTCCTCTCCCAGCAAGCACAGGGGCACACAGGAAAAGAACAGAGAGAGAACTCTTACTGTAGCACACGGGAGTGGCTGAGATCTTTCATATCTGAGTCCTCGTAATGCGGAGTTATCATGCCCAGCCCACTATCACTCAGCATGCGTTTCCGTAGGCCAGGGTTCCACCAGTCTGACATTCTGGGAGAGAGAAGGGCACCAGTCATTTTAGCAAAGTCAGCCACAGGGCTCGCTCTACTCTTTCGCAAAGCGACTCTTGTCTCTAAACGTGGGAACAGAAATTCATCTTCATTGGGTATGAACACGGCACTTCGCATGGATCATTTCATTTCATTCCCCCAACCTGCACGATTCTTCCCTCTTTACAGATGAGAAAACTGAATTTCCAGAAGTCATTTAAAACGTGACATACAGCAGAAGTCATGGAGCCCGATGCAGAAATGCAGATGAGAAAATACCAAAGCCCGTCCCATTTCACTGCTTCCCTGTTCCTGATTTATTTCCAGAGGGGGCCCTGATGAGAAATAAGAAAGGGACTGATTCAAGGTCCGGTGGCTTTTCAGGCTGCTTTCTTTTTGGAGCTGGAGCTAACAGAGGTCTAACCCAGAGCAAAGCCATTTCTTTGGGCCATTATGTGACATGGGGAGAATGACAGGGAGGGCAAAGACCAGGGTGAGCTTGACAGAATGGGTTCACTCTTATCAGATCAAGGACCAGAGCCCAGATGGGCAGGGGTGGGAGGAAACCTCGCCTCCAGTGCCTACTGGTTCTGCAGTTGGACACTGCATCACACACATTTCCCACTCAACTAACAGGCTGGATTTATAGTATTATAGTCCATGGACTGCAAAGGTGCTTTTCTCCAGCGCCTTCTGGGACTCCCAGGGTTACATGGGACCACCCTATGCGCCTGTCAGCTTTCCCTTCATGCCAGAGCAGCTCCGAGATCACTATCGCTGGCTTCCGAAACACAGCAGATCTGTTCCATCCTGCCACTTCTGTCTTCTCTTAATGCCTCACTCACTCTGTATATACTATGGATATCAGCTGGCCCTGGCAGCGTGGGTGAGACTCAGAAACAGCAGCGATGGTCACATAAAGCAGTGAAGAGGGATGAACAGTCATAAGGGCTACTCAAGTGAGCATGTCGGTTTATAGTGAGTGAGTGTGTGTGCGTGGTTTGTATATGCTATGTGAGTGCATGTGTGTATACTTTCCAGGGAAAGCCTTATTTTAGCTATTTAGTCTTCATATACCAGTAAACCACTGAAATTCATTAGACTTCACAAAGGGCAGAGCTTTTTATCTGCTTTGATGTTGGTACTCGTGTTTCCCAAGGGCTTACATTAATACCTGCCATGTAAAAAGTCTAAATAAATATTTTTAAATTGTTGAAATAACTTAGAAGTGTTATTAATATTTTGGTGGTTCAATGCAGTGGCTAAATGCATAAGCTCTGGCATCAGAAAACCTGGGAGAGAATCTCGATTTTTCCATTTGTTTTCTGTGCAATATGGGAAAGTTACAAAACCCTCTAAGCATCAATTTTGTTACCCATGAATTTAGGATGATAACAGTACCAAATTTGCAGGGTCAGTATGAAATGATGACATGGTTTTTAATAACATACTATTTAATGAGAGAGACCACATTCACATAACTGCTATTACAGGATATTGGTGTTATTGTTCTGTTTTATTATTAGGTATTGTTGTTAATCTCTTACTGTGCCTAATTTATAAATTAAGTTTTATCAGAGGTATATATGTACAGGAAAAAACAGTCTATACAGGGTTTGGTAGTATCTGTGGTTTCAGGCGTCCACCGGGGGTCCTGGAACGGATCCCCTGCAGATAAGGAATGATGTCACTAGAAATGTCACGTCCAAAGCCACACAAGGCGCTGATGTCACCCTGTGGCCAGCTCCCCATCGCACCACCCGAGGCGATGCATACTCACCCTGAGGCCTGCTCCACCACCAGATCAGGCATTCCTGGCGGTGTCCCCGCCTGCTGCGACAACACCATATCCGGGTCCAGGATGAAAACTTCATCTTGAGAAATCTCCATCACAAAGTGCAAATGTTCCTAAGAATGAAAAAGAAGTCTGTCAGATGACTGACAGGAGGCTCAGATCCGTCATCTGAAGAAGAACAAAACAAAGCATTCTTGGTCTTGAGGAGTCATGAAATCCTGTGACATAGCAAATGACCACAGTGTATTTTCAAGGGCCTGGCCAGTGGAATTCCCTCCTTGAAGCAACATCATAGCAAGAGCTTGGAAACGGGGAGGGGTGAATGCCCCTTGGTGTGGATTCCCAGCTGACCAGGATCCTGTTGGGTAGAACCAGAGGTGGGCTTTCCTCTTCTTCCCAAACACTATTAAAAGAAGTGACATCCGCATGCAACTTGGTCCAGTACGCACGTACAAGAGCCTGGACTTACACCCCAGGGTCTGGTCGAGGCTAAGTAGCGTGGTTAACAACTGGTTTTATCACTGGGTTTCATACTGTACTCTCCGCAGGAGAATTTCCAGAGTGGGAGCACTTGTTATCATTCGGCATAAGAATTTTATTTTCTCATTACTGAACTCTGGGAAGTGAGGAGTTGAAACTAAGCAGCCTAGATATACCCTCAAGTTCTCAAATGTTTAAAGGCATAAAATTTGACTAGGCAGCAGTAAAAGTGGCAGTGTAAATAAAAATGTGGAGTGCAAGCTGGTGATAATATTCACAAGCCTCGTTATCTTCTATACTCATTTGTAAGGTCAAGTCCTATTACCTTGAGTGCACAAATCACAAAACACATGATGACAAATAAAATGCCCATAGCTTAGGCTAGGAGTACCATTCCAAAGTCTGTGACTGTTTCAGTTATAAAAGGGTATAAGGTTAGCTGCCAATGAAGTGTATTTACTTGGGATTTTTTCACTTTCACAAGTAAGCTCAAGAAAACTTACCTGAGATCTGTCTATTCGATAAAAGCGATCAGCAGAAGTTGCTAAGGGAAAAAAAAAAGTGTGTGGCATTCAGTGTCCTGTGATCTGGTGCTCAATTTACAACCTTCTGACCTACCATGTCAATTAAAAACCTTACATTCCACTCATGTGGACTACTGACTAGTTCCTAAATCTATTAAGAAAAACTCAGGACTCGTACGCCTCAGCTGCTGCTATCCTAGTGTTTAGCTAGCCTGTCTTTCTCCATTATATCTGCCTATTGAAATCTTACTTGTGTTTTAAGGACCAAGCACATGCTACCTCCTCTGTGAAACCTCGCTCGGTCCATCCTCCTGGTCCCAGACAGAACTCACTGCCCCTTCCCCTACGTGCATTTACGTTGCTTCTATTCTCACAGAAACTACCTCCACAGATAACCATGAGACTAAGATGATTGCCTCTTTAAGGGTTTGGGTTTCATTTATTCTTTTACATCACCAGATGTTAGCGCAGGACCTTATATAGAGCTGCAACTCCATATGTATTTAGTAAGTGAATAAAGTTAGAAAAAAAACAAAACTGTAGGTAGCCAGACTTCCCAACGAACTGATTCTCATTTTGGAAAAGAGCTTGAAGAGGCAGAGCAGGGACCTCATCTAGTATTAAGGAATCATTTCACTTTAAATCGGAGTCCCTAAGCTATGTTGGAAGAAATTCAAAACAGCAAAAAAAATAAAAAATAAAAAATAAATAAATAAATAAAATAAAATATATATATATATGCTCAAATTTTATATATATATATATATATATATATAAAATATATAATTTAAGCAGGCCCCCCCCAAAAGGGAATGGGCTGCAGCTGTGGCTTGAGAAAAAAAATCTTACAAACTGTTGGTTTTTTAAAAAAATTATTCTGATTAATCTTAATATTCAAAAGAATTATGTTTCTCTTTGCTTAAATCTGAGTCCATATATTATACATAGATTTTCTACAAAGCACATAGTACTAGAGGGAAAAATTCGAAATGCAAATAGCCATTCAAAAATCATAAATATTGAATGACTAGCTTTTCTCCAAAGGAAATGAGCTAAGAAACAACTATTCTCTCTGCCCTCAAAAATCAACAGGAGAATAAAATCTGCCCAAGAAGGACTTACTCTAGTTTGTTCTGTGTAATCACAACTGTAATTATCTTTTAAAGGTTTCTAATAAAACTATTTATAGAGTAAAACTCATCTGGGTTAAGACCATTTTCTACAAGTGTAATTTTATCTAAGACTATATAGAACAGGCTATATAGAGAACAATTCATGTAAGTGTTCATAGTATTCTTAAATATAAGTTGTTTCTCTGTGGGTTCAGGAAACACAAGTGATTGTGTTTCTCATCAGTAGGGAATAAAACAGCTGGAGAAAAAAAAACAGTGTAAATTACCTTCAGAGGTAGTTGACAAACCATTAATAAAAACCTATGTCATGATTTATGTGGGTTAGATTTCATATAGATACAAGCTCTCATATTCATAACCTGGCCACACACTCACACTTCTTGGCTTCTCTTATCCACATTTATATCCTCTCAGATATATACACAGATAAACAAGAGTGGGGTCTATGATGAAAACCACATGTCCACATCGACAAGAGGGACACTGAGTAGCGAGCATATACGCAGAAATGTACTTCAATATGGGTCACTGGATAGAAAAGTAGGATTGGGCAAAATCTAGGGAGCGAGAAATGCTTGCAATGGAAAATGGACTCATTAACCAATCAGAAAATTACTCAGCTATTAAGCATTCAATATCATGCTCAACAGAGCAGATACGAATGCAACTGAAATTCTCTACAGTTGGATAAAAATTTATGCATCCTACTGAAATGATGGTTTAACGAAAACTACATGAAAGTTCTAAAATATGCAAGCGACACACATGTAAGTACCCATCCCATGTTACTGAACCCATCTAATGGCCCCGATTTAAGACAGGGATTCGTCACGTTTCAGGAAATGGGGGGGCACTCAAAGGGAAATGTCGGCTTGAGGGACTTGATGCTGACTGACAGGTTCAGCCAGAGTTAACCAACTTGCTTTGAGGGAGATGACATCAGGAAGGTGTGTCGCAGCATCAGCAAGTCCACATCGTTTGAGATGCAAATACGATCGTATGGAGCCATGTATAAGGTTTCTGAATAATCCTTTGGAAAATTGGAGTCCACTTCATCCATCGACGTCTTGCCCTGCCTTTCCCCAGCCCCCGGCCCTCCAGGAAATACACAGACACTCACCATCTAGAAAGCACCACCGTGGGGAGAGCCTCTGAGCTGAGAGTGCCCTGGGGAAGGAGGTTTCTTGGTCCTGAAAAGAGAGACACATCTCCGTGGCTCCATCTGAATGACCCGAGGGGCTTCCCTCACTCAACAGACACTCTACCGTATCCCCTATTTCTAAGAGTGAGCACCCTTTCCTAAGCACAGCACTGGTGAGAAACCATATCTTTTTACTAGAAACAGAACTAGGGGCTCTGCTTCGAAATGAATTATTCCACATAGAGCTCCCACATAAAATTTCTAACGTTTTAAAACAACTCCCACATCAAGTTTCCAGGTTTTCAATTATTTCATTAAACATTTATAAATGGTTGGACTTGGGACATTTACTGCCTCCGAGGAACTTCTTTCTCTTTGTGAGGCTGAGGAACTAGTGGCAGCTGGCTGTCACTTCCATGTCGGTTCTCCACACCGGTATAAAAATTTCCCCTACTAAGAGAATCTCTGCCAATGATAATTTAGAAAATAAATTAAAAAGTGCACTCTAGTTTCCAAGCCTTCTAGCTCCGGCTTATAGTGAAACTGAACTCACTGGCAGAAATAGGACAAATGAGGAGGGGGCCGGTTTCTGGGGGAAAGACACTCAGGATTTGACCCTTATAGGGATTGGAGATGTTCAGATATAGGGAACATCCTTGGAGAGCAGCTGGGTGTGGATGATCTCTGTGCACAGAGGGGTCAGAAGGAGGAAATGAGAATAACAGAAGTAATATGAGAGCCAATCAGAGGTTGTACTGATGTCCTTGGGAATTGAACCAACACTCCTTGCTGCACTTGACAATCAGGCAAAGCCTACGAATAACTCAGTGGTTTCTTAAAATGTGAACCCTGGAACAGCAGCATCAGCTGGGAACTTGTCAGAAATACAATTCCCAGGAACCACCCAGGGTTGACAGGGCTCTGGAGGTGGAACCCAGCAATCTGCTTTACACGGCTTTCTGGTGAGTCTGATGTATGCTCATGTTTTAGAGCCATGGACATGAAGTTACCAGGACAAAAGGGGCCCATTTTGTTATTAGAAAGCTTGGGTATATGGAGTTTTTCATATGAATGGATTCTGTAAATCAAATAATTGATAGAGGAAAATTGGTGTCACTGAGGACTGGTACCAAAATTTATATTTATACATATAGAATGGATATAGCTATGGACACAGAAAAATATATGTTCCTCCTTGTTGAACTGGCTTTGCCACCCTGATGGTTAAGCTAAATGAAATCTTGACATGTGCTCAGTACGTATTTATACGAGAATTATGTTAGAAATTTTGAGAATTATATTTTGACACATGCAATATCTTGTTTTAAGGAAACTTAAGGTTCTTAATGCACTTTTATAAAACATATAAAGCTACCAACATGTCTCAGTTTGGTGAGAAATATAATTATAAATCAACAAATTTAAAAGTTATTTGAAATATTTAGTGAAAGGAACTGTGAAAGCTGATAAAGATATTAAACAGAAACATGGCTGTCTTCTCTAGGAGTAAAGGGACTTAAACACCAAGGACACTTGCTAAATTTTGCTGTCGAATAGGCTACCGAGATCACCATTAAAAAACATCCTTAATTCCCTAGTAAAAATTGACACTGAAAGAATACAGAAATACTTGATTTATGTAAAAAAAAAACCTAAAAATTAATAATGATATTGCTCAAATATTCAAATTAGAGAATACTGCATATTATTCAGCTTAGTTTTATAAAATGCAGATCGATATATTGCCTTAGCCACATGACTCACCCACAGACTAGTAAGGTACTAATAATACTGATATAATTGTATGTTTTTTTATGTGCGAGTCTGTGAGTCTGGAGAATTTTATGCATGTGCCAGGCTTTTCTTCATTTATTTTGTCTATTTTCTGTTCATTTATTTATTCTCACTTTGACTCACAAAGCACTTGCTATAATATAACTCAACTTCCTTAAAGACATTTTGTTTAAACAGAACTTTATCAGTTTGCTCGGTGAAAACACAACGGTCGACCTAGAGCTCTTTAGAACACTTCAAATACTACATCCAAAAGGGTCTCTAAATAGGTCCACCAATCCTTGAACTCCCTGAAATTTTATGCTAAATTTGGTGTGTCTATGTGCATGTGCATTTTCCAGGACAGAGGGACCACTTTTTCCCCATAGATTATCAAACCCCCAAAGGTTAAAAAATGACTAATTCAGTAGTAAAAAATTTAGGTCAGAGATAATTCAACAAAACCAGAAGATTCTAATCAGTAAAATGCCTTAACAATATCCAGACATACAAGAATAGAAATTACTATTTCAAAGTTACTGGTGATTGCAGTATCAAACAATGGAAGCTATCTTTCTGATCTTGTAGCTATTTTCTTAGTAGTGGGCTAAATTCAGGCCAATCTCTACCCAGAAGGAGGCAATAAACTTTTCGCTGATTTCCATCCATGGTCCCTCCCAAATGTTTGGTTTCAGCTCTCTAAATAAAGTGCTGTACGTTCTTCTACTTGTGTTTATTTTTTGAAAAACAGACAAGTGGAAAACATATATATATATATATATATATATATATATATATATATATATATATATATATATATACATACACACACAGTAAAACCTTGGATTGTGAGTAAAGTGGTTTGCGAGTGTTCTGCAAGACGTTAAAATGTATTTCTAATACATTTTAACATGGTAAACGAGTGATGTCTTGCAATATGAGTAGTTTGTTTCTGGAACACACTATGCTCGCAAACCAAGGTATTACTATATATATATATATATATATATGTATATATATATATATATATATGAAGTATTATATTGCCTTAATAATTGAAATTAAATGATACTTCACTAATTAAAGGCAAGGGAATCTCATGAAAAAAATTTTATTGAAAAATAATGGGATACTTTTTTGTTCCCACTTGAAGATTAAAAGGTTCCCTGAACTAGGTTTGCATCCTCTCATCTCCCTCCTTTTTTGAAGCTTTCAACCTTATTTAAAAAAAAAAACCCAACCAACCAAACAAAAAAACTATTCAGGGGACAGTTGCTAACATAATGTGGTCCTATGTTAAAAGTGATTTGAATTCCAAAGGAAAAATGTAATATCTCCTCAATCTAGGGAAGATTTATAATGCAAAGCAATTAAATTACTTATTTTAAAATGTCACATATTAAAAAGATATATAAAAGCAGTGAAACCTCAACAAAATTTTCCCCTTGGATCTAATCTAGTCTACATATACATACTGGGGTGCCAAAAACATGTATACAAGTGGACACTTTGGTCAGCGTTGCTCAAGCAGTAGTTTGCCGTAATCAGAAGTGTCTGGACACTGATGGGAACCACTTTGATCACTTCTTTTGCAGAAGTCAAACATGACTTGTATTTATCTTTTGTTACTGGTATATATTGAGTATATATACAATTTTAAATGTATATACAATTTTAATATAGTTTTCCCTTCTTAAAATGGGTGTACATGTTTTTGGCACCCTCTGTATGTACCGAGGTATGTGAATGTGTATAACGTTGTATAGATGTAGAAAAAGGTACAAAATGATACAGAGCAGAAAAGTGCTATCCTAATGTGTACTTTGGGTGGGGGGTTAAAAATCAAGCAGAAGTCTGGAATTCTGTACCATCGGAAAACTACAATAAGCCAAGATTATAAAAGCTGGCAGACTTCAGGACACAAGTAGTTAAAGTCAAGAGAAATACCTTGAGGATCTTAATGTCAAAGGAAAATGCACATTTGGATGGATTAAACATGGAGCAGGAATTAAGGGAAGCAGATTGTGAAAAGGAATTCACAGGAATTCAAAGCCATGGTCCATGAACTTCTTTCTGACATGCAAAACTAGTGATGGTCTATAGGAGGCTGGGTTCTTATGCATTCATATAATTCCTACATCTTGTCTATCTGCACCCCTTTCTCTCCTACTTAGAAAAGAGAATTATAACACCAGGGAGTGATGTTAGTACAGAAGTAACATTAAATTTGCTGACATTTTGTTTTAAATAACTCTCATTGCTAACACATTGTGGGGAATACACCTCACATCAGGTAAACAGCTCGTTGCCAACAGAGGGCCGGGAACAAAGGATGAGTAGGTGGCCCTGGCATTAAGAAATCCTGGGGGCCGGCCGAGTGGCTCAGTTGGTTAAGAGCTTACTCAAGAGTGCGAGCTCTGAGCAACAGCGGTTCGAGTCCTGGCCCAAGCTGAGCTGCCACTGAGCTGCCAACAGGTGGCAGGATGGCTCAGCTAAAAAAAAAAAAAGAAAGAAAAGAAAAAAAAATAAATCCTGGATTCAGTGCTGTATAGACCATGAATCAGACCGGAGAAGGAAAAGAGGAGTGAGGGAAACAAAAGGGCCCCTCACAAGAGGACAAATTTGGGCCCCAAGGACAGACCTTTCATGGACCTTCTAGAGTAGACATGGCGGCATCCATGTCACTAAACAAGAATGGCCAGAAGTATGTTTGTTTTGGTGCACATTAAAATAAACGTACAGAGCTAATTTCTGATAGAATCATACAAAAAGAAAAAAGAAAACAAGCTTTAAGATATGCACCTTTCAAAAGCATCTGACAGTATATACTTAAGAAATGTGATTGTGTAAATGCAGCTATGTTTCAGGAGGTCTTCACATAATTACCTGAGCTGTGCCACTAACTATCACATTGGTAGCTTTCGGTGCTAATTTAGGGCTGCTAATCTCCTCAGTCCTCTCAAAGTGCATAGTCAAATCAATGATTCATCTAAGAGATAAGATACTTGACTTGCTCGTTTTTTGATTTTTTATTTTTCTTCACATAAATGGCGCCATTTAGATGAACGCAACTGTCATTGCCCTATAATGTAGGCAGAATGATATAACCTTGGACATACCATGCTCCTTTCTAGTTTAAAGGTAATAATCTTCTAAAATTGCATGCTCCTTAGATGAATAATATTAACAAATACTGCTCATTTCAAAAATCTCTGATATGTGAATTTTCTCTTTTGATATATGCTAATGGAAATCAATTTCTCATGCTAAAAATAT